CTCCAATTCCTCCGTCCCCCATCACTCTCGTATTCTTGTAGCTCTCAGAGGGCCAGGAAACGGCAAGAATCCCACGAAGAATCTCTTGCCTGCCATGTCGACTGAACCCCTCTCGACGATCCAGGAGTATACGAGATCATCAGGTACGGAGTCGATTGAATGTGGACAAACTGGCCAACTGCGTGCTCTCGGCAGGCTTCTATGTCCTGAATCGCCAACACCGGAGGTTTGGGACACCGTGACCCAATATAACGACGCCAGCCGAGGCGACAAACGTGCGCAAAGCCGACACTCGCACCTAGTGAGCTTCTAGAGACTGGTCACTATTCCTCTTGCAGCGACGGGAAGGAGAATTGTTCTCCTGGACTTGTATTCCAGGTCACTGTGTCGAGTGCCTGCCATCGAGTAGAGGCCCACGGTTCTATCGATAGCGGACAGGACGAAGAAGTTGAACTGGATTTCACTCTCCCTCATCGCAAGCCGGTTAATATCACCATGAGATTCTGTCAGTACTCTCTTCGAGGGTCTTCACGACACAACAGACAACGCGAGCAGAAGGTCCATGATGGAGTCTCCGGGAGGATGGATGCGGAGTTTCAAGCGCCTGAGCGAAGATGGCAAACCCCTGGACAGGGGCACAGACGGCAACGAGCTTATAGGTCTCGAAGGAGCAAGCGAGGGGCCTTACAAGTCTTGCAGACTAGATGAATGTATTGAGTTTTAATCAAGAGTCTTCACCAACCCCTGAAATGGTATTGGTCCCTGGATGCCTCCTCCAGTAAATATCTGTTCCACGAGCCAGCATTAACGTCTTCTTGCTTGCCTTCATGTAGGACTTCTTTGGAAACTGTCTCAAGTTCAGTGTATCTTGCAATACGTGCTGATGATTGAACACAGTGTCGGTTACGAATGTCCCTTGCTGCCTTTCCCGCACGAGTCCAAATCGGAGAGAGCCAGTCAACTCGGTCGTAATCATGTTACGACGAGTCGTTCGTGGCGATAGAGCTGCCGTGGCTTTCCCACGGTCGCATGTAGCTGAGTGTCTTGAACGTTGGATCGAGGCCCCTCGCTGCCGCGCTTGTCTGAGGTCGCCTGTTGCTCTCTTTCACTCTCCAGCATAAGTGTAATGAGTGATCGTCGCTGCATTGTCCCAGGACGGGGTCAGAACGCTGGAACGGCTGCGAATCCATGATCGGCTCGCCACTATCATCAGAACTGTAGTCGTCGATAGTAAGCTCGTTGCTCCCCCCATTTTCAGATAGAATTGATGCTTCGTTCGTGCATGTGGGCAGGGCACGTCCGAACGCCTGAAGACCTTCAATATCGTGGGTTTCGGAGCCAGGAGAGCCGGTTGTCTTGAGCGAGCCCTTCTTCGAGGAGGTGCTTATTTTGCACATGGCTTTCAAACGACGGGTAGAAGGATGCGTGAACTCATAGATGTTTGCTTGAGGAGCGTGCTTCATTAGCTGAACTGAAGATCATACATGCGAGATGATTTACGCAGAAGGCATGGCTTCCTTTAACACTTTGGAAGGCACCTTCGCGTCGCGCTTCCAACTATGGAAGGATTACTTGAAGCGTTTTGCATCGACTAATGCGGCATGAGCGTGTGGCCCAAACTTGGGACGCTTAAATTGAAGGAAGTAGCAGTAGGCAGAGGGCTGACAGTGATGTAAACCACCGTCGCTCTAATTGAGTGCCCTCAAAATTATACCAGGTGCCCTGTCGACCGTTCAGTGCCGGATTTTATCGCTACAGATAGTTGTATCTCCATCTCTCTTTCTACCCGTTTTCTCTGGTGCTCTCTTATCATACTGTCTAGAGGTACTGCTGGCATAAATAAAATCGCCAGACAAAGTCCACACTGACCTCCAAACTGTTGTCTCACCCGGCCAGTCACAGAACACACTAGGAGCACAGATGATGCTATGAACACCAATCCGCTTACTGCTCCAAGCCACGGCATCCCTGGTTTGACGTCGGCTGCTCTGGCTGAGGCTGGTTAGAGTGCCGGCCAAAATGACGGAAACACTGTGTCTTCCTCCATATCGCCATAACCATAATAACGGTAGTCAAGTGAGACACCATTGGAGCAGCACACCAGTATTCGACACCAGATCGTCTAAATTGCCAGACGGTCGCCCCGATAAAGGGAAGGTGAAAGGCCAGTACTAGTCCACAAATGATGATTCTCGCCTTAATGGAGGGGCCAGGCTCGACGACGCGAGAAAAAGGATCAACAACTTGAATAAGCTGTAGACAATGAGTATATGGGGGAGGTAATTAGACCGGCCTGGATGGGAAGTACCTCAATGATGTCGACGCATAACATGGTGACCCCTTTCCAGGCTGTGAACAAGGGGTAGGCAAGGACGCCCGGTAGGAGTGCATTTCTCGCACTGCCGAACAGAGCGGCGAATACTAGTCCGGTACCCAAGAAGAGACAGGCCGTGGGAATCAGCGCCCAAGTTCGCCTACGCGAAGCTTCTCGTGGCTTGACTCTGATCATCCAGTACAAGTAAGGCGCCAGAAAAACCGTGGTCACAGCAAATACGACGCCGGCCTCAGTGACCTCCTTAATGGTAATCTCGTTCTGCATGTCAGAATTGGGCAACCTTGAACGTGGAGAGGACGGAATTCGGACTTAGAGGAATGAGAATATGAGCACCGGGCTTGCCCGGAATAAGACGTGCTTTATATAATGTTAAGTCATAGCAGCGAATGTTGGTGCTTGGGAAGTAACGCTTAGATGAAGAGAGCCATAGGACGTTGTCTAGTTGCTTTGCAAACGGGCAGACATACTTAGAGTCAGATGGTGATGGGGTGACTTGTACATAGTAAGGTTACACCATCATTTCTTTAAGACTGGGCTATAGTTGATATGATGATTTACATATATGAGGCGGGTGAGCTTCCTCCATATCGAAGCGGCCTGGATCCAGGTAGGATGGGTAGAACGGCACGCCTTCACCAGGTCAATGCGGTTGGCTCCCGGTTAAGAGGCCATCCAGTAGATCGGCATCACTAGCAATGCATAGAAACTGGGTCATGCACTTTGGCTTGCATGGTCTAGGCTGGCCTCGAGGAGGTCGGAATGCCATGGGCCTGCAGAGGGAAATTTCCCGGATCTGCAGTCAAAATGAACATGCCCGCGACGACACCATGAGCTTCTCTGTGGAGATGGACCAAACAAGGAAGCTCAAAGACACGAGCAAAGGATGTTGTTGCTCCATTCCACATTGGGGTTTGTGAGATAACAGCGCGGCTGTAGGTAACATGACTCTCAGTTGTGACAATCCCGCAAGGCGGGCTTCATGCTGGCTCGCAGATCCAAGGACCTGGCTCGCACCCGGTCGTTCCTGGTCTCGGCCTCGTCGAGGCTGTTGGTCATGAACATGAAGAAAAGGCAGGTTTGTCAGACAGGAAGGGAAGGAACACAGGATAGATCACTGAGAAGAAAGAGACAACTAATTACTGGGCTATTCCTCCGGCTTGTTCGTCTCCTCAAGAATAGTCTCCATCGCCCTTTCTAAAAGTGCTCTGCCCTTATCGCTGTCTAACTCATGAGCTGAACACCATCCATCCTTGACCTCAATGAAAACCGCGGTCGCACTGCAACTTGCTAATTTGACAAATCTTCTGTCGTACCAGCCGCCAAAAGTGGAGGCCACCTCCTGTCAGAGGCGACTGGTAACATGGACTATATGGGCTCCGACAGCATTTTCTGATGTCTTCCCGCCATATTCCGCGCATACTTCAATGGAGGGGAGGTGACGAGAGGTGGGCGGCGAAGCTGGATTGTCGCCTACTGATAATCTACAGTACCTTAGTGGTTTCATATTCACGTGCGACTAGATAAGAACCATGTGAGCAAAGGCCGGACCTAGTGTTGATTGTGATCTGTCAGAGGGAGCAGACTGACGGTCTAATCCGCACACGTATAAACTCCGGTGAAAGAGGCAGGTCAGACGCAGGGACTTGAGTCAGGTATCGATACAGTAGAGGAACATTGCCCTAATCGGGATACACGGGAATTGGCCCCGATTCAGGGCCTCCACGGGTCCCAGATAGGTATCTATTCGTATAAATACCCCCTCAATGTCGCACAGATAGATAGAAAACATGCATCATCGCTTGGACTCAATTGAGCCTGCCCTTATCCTTCCGTCCGCGCTCTCAGCTTGCTGAGAGATCCAAACGGTACGGGAGGGACTGGGAAAAGGAACGATCCGAAATACCCGCCCCATGAATAAGGTTACTGAATATTTCATTCGACCCCTGCTATCAGAAATTTCATCCATACCCTTAGCATCGGATAATTCGAGTTAGACACGTCACGTGAAAATTAAACCAGTCTGAAAATGAAAATCATGGAGGTGGGGTAGCTTCTGTCACGGAGGTAGAAAAGTCTGGTTTTACCCCAGTGGCACGTCCACGTCTTATTCTGTAGCCTGGAACACGCTGTTGCCCCCACCGGGTATGGTGGCATCCCGATCGGGTAAGGCGCCCTCCCACGTGCCCCACCCCGCCCAGCGCCCGTATAAATAGCCCGACCTCCATCCTCCCCGTCGCCTTGTACTCAGGACTTCTCTCCTCCCTTTTTTCTCCCGTCGCCTCCCTCACCGTTGGTCGCCATCCCCCTGCTAGGCACCCTGTCTTCTTGAATTTCTGCCTGCGGCCAATCCTACCTTTACGACCTCGTCATTTCGCTCCGAGACGGCCTGTTTCTCGCGCTGCAGCGTCCCTCCCGCGAGCACTCCTTCCAACGCATCTCTGTACGTGTTCATCCATTGCTCCGCTTGGATGTTCATTTCACGTCGAATCCTGGCCCTCTCTCTTATGAAAGAACAGTGTCGAACAGCTACTAACTAGTTCAGTTCAGACTGTTTCGCAAGCTCGAAATCGATCTTTTATCGTTCCCCTCGAATCCCTCCATTCAATCTGGATCTCGTCACTCACCTGTTCGTTTGAGCGAGCGCAACCGTCCTCGGCGTGGAGGCTCAGAACAGTTGTGATAGCTTGTCAGCCGATGGCAAAAATGCCACATCCGCCGGACTTCTCCGACGGTTGACCCAGGAGGCCTCCGCAACGCTCCAACTGCGGCAGCGGCTGACGCCTTGACGAGCCGATGCAATCTCACGAGCGGGCGCATTGAGGTGACACGTCATCAGCAGCACGGGGCGGGAACTTTTGATGCGACGATCGCGGCTCGGCGTTGCCTCGGCCTGGCGCTTTCCGACGGGCTGCGTCGTCAGCAATACCGTGATCGCGACCAACCCCTGCAGGTCTTTTACGGAGGTTCGTGTCGATCAAGCGAATGCTTGGCTCGGTCTCGACCCAGAAGCTGAGACAAACTTGCATTAGGAGATCGACTCCGACGACGCGCTCGAGTGGATTCTGGGCTCCTTGACCGATGGGCGACAACGAGTAGGACGAAGGTGATTGGGGAAACCGAGGTCCTACGACACGGCATAGAGAGCCAACGTGTGGAGCGCTGGGCGGATTCGGAAGACGCAGGAGCTGATTGGTTCGTTCTGCACCCATATTGCTCAGCCGAGAAGTACGCCCGGATTGTGTTGCGTCATGTGCGGCTCGGCGTTAGGGTGATTGGCGGCAAGCCGGATGAGAACGGAGACGAAGGCTGACTCGAGGGGAGTCTAGACTCAGCTCTCGAGAATCGCATCTTTTGGCGGTTGGGGATCAGGAATGGGGTACCCACCCAGAGCCGGCTGAGCAGTCTTCTCGAGCATTTAAGGCTCTTCGCACCCCGCGCCTATTCGGAGAAGGCTTATCAACGAAGCTCTCAAATCACCTGCGAGACAGCATTTGGCACGCGGCAGTGCCCCCTCCATCATGACCACTCTCATTACTCTCGATAACCCGATTTTCTGGACTCCTCCAGGGGCGTACTCAGCGGATCCTTCCGTAATGAAGTTCTCGCGCCCACCGGGACATCAGTTGCCTCCAGCTGTGACAGCAGCGTTCTTACGTCACGCTTCCACGGGGGCGGATGAGGGGCAAAGACATCCATCGGCTAGTCAGCCATGGACTACGAATAATGTGATATTAATTTCTTCCGATGAAGAATCTGACGTGAACGATGACGACGATAACGACGAACACGGTTTCAACGCCGACGAGTCGTATCCAGATGACTCGCTTCCGTCGATTGCTACTATTGCGACATCCATTGCCAGTGAACGGCTTAGAGGTCAGCAATCCCAAAGCAGCGTTCTGGCGAGTGGACAGGCTGACAGTTCCTCCTCTAGTGACTACCGATCCTCAAAAGTCCGAGACCGCCGAAACAACTGGAAACGCCCGCCTGTGTGGTGCATCTGCCATTGGTCAAGTAGGACGGCCAGCTGCTACAAGGACATCGTCGCCAGCTTCATCCTTCAGCAACCTTGTCGATGCCTTGCCCGTCGCGACCGCCTCGCTCCAGACAGAGCCACCCATATCCGAAGATCATAATGATTTGCATAGTCAAGATGCGAATGCCTCGTGTCAATGCCGTCCTGTATCTGCCGCCGATGCTGTTTCTCCTGAGCCAAGGGTCAACCTAGGCACGACTCACCCAAATCGACACGGACTTATTCGTGGTTCTGACGTCGAGGGCCAACCAAGCGCTGCAGCCCCACATCATGATGGCTTGGGCCATGGAGGGGCCGACGAATCAGCTCCAGCTCAAAGGACTACAACAGAACCCGGCAATTCCAGCCCCAGTCAAAGAAGCTCAAGTGATGCCGGCGAACGGCATCTCCCATCAGAAGAGAATCGTGGGCGTGCTTCTGTTCCCTCCCCCTCACCCCAAACTGATCGAGCACGCGTCGAGGAGTCTCAACACGTCGGTAAAGATCCTGTGGCATCCCGTTCTCAAAATACCAACGAGACTAGGAGGAGGCGGTTGCAGATGTCCCAGACTGTCGGCAGCAGGCACAGTCATCGTCGTGCCGCAACGAAGAGAGATTACGTGGAAGACCGGATGGATTACAGTGATGATGAGGGCGTGCCAGCACGCAAGCATCATAAAACTGCGGCCCCGGCTCGTAGGTGGCGCGATCAAGTTGAGGATCTTCAGCAGCCCCCGAGACCCCAACCACGCCGTGCCCGGAGGCCAAAGAGCAACAGCGACATCATTTCGTCTTCAAATAGTGAGGCAGCCAGCCTAGCAAGCTACGAGGAATGGCCCCTTTCCGATGCGGTGCTTAAGTGCGTCCGAGACAACGGCACGGCAACGTTTCAGCTACAGTTTACATGGGCCACCTCGTGTATGGCACACGCTAGCTCGAAAGTCGACGGTCGCGGACTCGCAATCTCAGGGGAGAGAACTGAGGTGTCCGTGAAAGGTAACTTGGAAGAGCCAACCCAGCGAGATAGCAAAGATGGCAATGCCGACGTCTACCAGGTGGAATGCTTACTGGCTCGGTGGGGAAAGCACGCCTTCCTCCTAAGATGGTCTGATGGTACCACAGGGTGGGAGCCAAGGAGGAACATTCTGGACAAGCAGATGCTTCACGAATTTGAGGCAGGGTATGAGGGTTTCGATGGGGGGATTGATGTTCTGGGTTCGCGAACCAAAGCCGGCAAACATCAACATCTCTTGCATTGGCATGGTCGTCCGTTGCGTGAGGACTCATGGGTGGACGAGAAACTGATGAGCCAGAAGCGAATGGAGAGAATCAAGGCATGCGGGTTGGGTGATACCAACTGAAAGTCTGGGTCGTCTGGATGCGGCGGCACTAGAGCGCGAGCAAAAACGCTCAGGAAAGAGGTTTGGAGACTGTATTTTTATCATTTTATTACAGTCCTTCTATTCATTCAATCGCAAGCATGGAGGCGCGTCATGTCTATCATGTCTCGTTCGTGGGGGCCGTGATGGAGTTAACCGCGGAGCTTATTGAGATTTCGCAGGTTTCCACGGCTTTCCCAGGAGACCAACCTTGTCGAAATCATCGACAACATCGACAAGGAGGTATGTTGCAATTGTAGCCCGGTCAAACACCCCCAAGCGTATCGCGTCAGACGTTCGGCCCTGCAAGTCAGGAGATCGAAGCACTGCATGCGCCTCTGCTCCGAGCAAATACATCGACGCAATGACGCACATGACGTACTGGTCAGTTTTGTCATCTGTCAAGCAATCCCTCCCTGCTTTACGCAAAGCCCGTGTCTACTACTGTTATAATTGACTTTCTCCACCGACTCCCTATGCTTCGGCCTGCACTCACATTGGTGAGGTTAGCAGTGCCTTTCATCGACACGAGCATTCAGGTCCTTCCTCCCACTTTCCATCTTTCAAGGGCCGAACGAGAGGAGATCGTATCGGGATGGGATGGGCCGAGTAGCCTTTCCCGCAGCTGAAAACAACGCTCCATAAGACCCATAGCCTTCCCTTGATGGCCTTGCCTGTTCCAAGTAAATGCAAGATTGTTCATGCTACTGAGCGTGGACGGGTGCTCCTCTCCAAGCACCCGCTTTCTCGTCTCCATCACCTGCACCTGCAGCGGCTCGGCTTCCTTCCACCGGCCTTGAAGCCGATACGTCACCGCCAAGTCGGCCATGCTGCTGAGTGTGGACGGATGCTCCTCTCCAATTGCTTCCCTTCGCATCTTCACTGCTTGCAGTTGGAAATCTTCTGCATCCTTCCACCGCCCCTGATATTGGAGTAGCCCCGCGGCATTGTGGAGAAGCGCCGCTCGACCGAACAATTCCGCTTTCCCTGCCTCGTAAAGCTTTTTCCCTGTTCTTTTGAATCGTAGAACAGCCAAGACGTGTGGATAGTAAGTGCTGCATACATCGCGGTTCTCAAACGTGCCGTAAGGGTACAGATCAAACACCGTCATAAGTGCCTGCCTGGCGAATTGATCCATGGTGCCATTGGTGACGATCCACTTCCGGGTGACTAATTGCACAAGCCGATGGATGGTAAATTTGCTGTTCTTGTTTTCCGAGATGAACGAAAACGCCTTAAGAAGACCTAGAGCTTCCTCAAGCTGGATATCTTTTTGCTGACTCTCAAGCTCCCCATCTCCATCTATTGGCTCCTGCCGTCGATGGCAATAGCAGGATATAAACTCCTTGGGGATGGCTTGCCGGTCGAAGAAACTCATGAGCGAGAGAAACTCGCCCGCCAATTTACTTCGCTTTTCGATGTGCTTGAAGGATAGTATCCACGTGGCTGCGACTGCTTGTGGAGTCCCCGAGTCTCTCCTAATAGTATCAAACTCCTTGCTGAGTAGTTCCAGTCCGTGGTGGTCGCTCTTGTCTAGGAGCTGAAGATACCGGCTTACCGCCATAACATTCATTCGAATGTATGCGGCTGCCTGGACGAGTGCCAGAGGAAGATATTCCAGCCGAGACGTTAGAAGCGAGATTTCATCAACCGTCACTTCGAGGCCATCGAGCGTGGCGCGAACCAACTGATCAGATTCGCGCTTGTCCATCTTGCAGATTTCCTCTACAGCCCGAGTCCGACCCTTCGTGAGCAAGACGCCAACCTGCCGATCCCGAGTTGTGACGAGGATGGATCCATGAGGGCTCTCAGGGAGGAAGCGCGCAATGCCACCATCTTGGGAAGGTGAGGAGCCACCCTCATCTTCTGGCAATGTGTAAAAGACCTGCTTGTCGTCGGCATTGTCGACGACCATCAGCCAACGACCTTGATGCGTTCTCTCCAGCCATGCTTTCACTAATGCTAATATGTCTGCCTCCGGGTCATCCAAACCAGGGACGTGGCATTCTCGCGCGATGGTTGCGTACGCTTGGCGGAACCGTTCTGCACTGCTCGCGTGGACCCAGAAGACCGACATTTCAGGGTAAGTCTCGTGGAGCCAATACGCATATGCAGTGACTATCTGGGTTTTCCTATGCATGTTAGTGAGGAGACGTCGTTCGGTTGCGCCAACTAACCCGATACCGCCGAGACCAAAGAGCGCGATCCTCGGCTGCGAGGACGTTGAAAGTCTTTCTTGAAGCTTCTTGAGTATAGCATCGCGGCCGACAAATGTTTCATTCTTGGGATATGGAACGACGACTATTAGCAGTATGAGACAGCGTTGGCCTAGGATGGTTCTGGTGGATTAAGCTGCGTACAATAAGGACCAGCAGGCAGCGTCTGGGTCGGCCCTATCACCAGACGATCAGCAGGTGTTCCAAGCAGTGTGATATCACATACCTGCAAGTACGGAAGGCACCCAATGGCTTAAAAATGCCTTCATACAGGCAGCCGCAGTGGCGGCAGCATAGCGCTGCCATGACTTGCTCGTGTGGCTATCCGCGTAGTCGCACGCGCCTTTTATCACAACGCATGGGAAGGTATCCCAGACACCAGCACCCTCCATCTCAAATGCAATAGCGCCTTCCCTCAATGCAATAGCGTCGCGATCTTCCCCAGACTTCATGACCGAATCGCCGGACGCAATCAGACCAAAATGGACGGCTGGTCGTGGATCGTCCTTGTCGTGGTGGAGCCGCCGCCGCGGCACCGGGTTACCATCACAACCGACCTGCTGGCACGGCTCCTGGTCGCCGACGTGGCGATATGTAGCCTCAAATAGCCTATCATGTACTGCGCCCGGGTACTCAGCGGCCAGGAGCGGCTCGTTCTGGAGGACACCGAGGTAGGTAGATATGGCGGCGCCAAGCTGCTTGCGACCCCGAAGACCCTTCAACTTCGCCAGCAAGCCTCGTATTTCGATATTCGGCCGCCCCAGAGAGTCTAACAGCGTATCTTTACGCTCAAAGCGGCCTGGTAGCCGCCGTCCAAGGTCGTATTGAATGACCCCATCGCTGATGACGACGTCGCCAAGTATGATCTCCTCGCCAGCAGGGCCATAGGGAACAACGCCACAGACACCCACGACTAGAGCGAGCTTTATATTCGGGAAGCTTGTCCGGCAGTTATTCGCTACTATCGCGGCGCTGGCTTTCCCCATACTCGGCATGTGCGCGAGGACGACGTTGTGGCGGCCGATGGCGCCAGTAGAGTAGGCGTTCGGGTCGCTCGGCGCTTTATCGAAAGATGGACCATTATCGTCCCAATGGAGGTCAAAAAGATAGTTTAGTTTAGTTTAGTTTAGTGTATTTTCCGTCCAGCAACTTTTGGTCGCTCAGGTCTCCGCAGGGGAGCACAGGACGTGCTGAGCTAGCAGGTGTCTACATGCTACATATCGTACACTTCACCCACTATCCAGCATTTCATCGGCTCAACGGCGCTCATGACAAACCTGTTGCCCGTCAGCGGGACGTCCAGGCATGAAGAGAAAGCTGTCCCGTGGTCAGATCAGCCAATTTGCTTCTGGGGCCTTGCAGCCCTTGATGACCTCGGCGATCGCATGGTCGCGAGACCTTGACGCCGCCCGAGATCGGAGCAGGTAACAGAAAGGATTGAGAGGAAAAGGTAGGGTGAGAGAGAGAATGATGACCGTCTAGTGGCGTGGGCAGATCCCTCCGAAGAAGGAGCTCGCTTTCGCCAGCCTGACGAATTTGTCAAAGTCCTTGCCGATTGCGCGGTTGATGGCTGCAGCCGGCCAAGGTGCAAGCCGCATACGATGCCGTGGCGCAACCTTTCTGCAGTAAAAGATGTGTGCTGGCTCTTTTCGTCTTCCGCACGAGCACGTCAGTCGCGCATTGTCGTGACCAAACCTTTCGTGGTAGTCAGCAAAATCCCCATGGTGGGTTCTTGCTGCAAGCAAGTTACGAAGCAGGGGCCGAGAGAGCGCCAATTCTGACGGGCAGCTGGTTGTGGCTTTAAGCCTCAGGTCTCTGTATCGCTCCGGCGCAGAGGCTTCCCACCAGGCCTTGAAAGCCTCTTCCGGCTGCTGTCGGGCAATCTTTCGCAGGTGCGCTAGCGTCGGGACGTTATCAGCGGGTTCTGGCAGTGATGCTCCGCCTTTGCCAGAGCATCAGCCTCCTCGTTGCCTGGGATGTCAGCATGGCCGGGGATCCAATGGACCTCCACAGCTCCGTATTTTCGCGCCAAAGATTGAAACTCAAGGAAGACCTCTTGCGAGGAGTCGCTCGGCGTGCCCCGTAAGCATGTTGCGGTCGCGAGGTTGTCGAGGCAGACAAAGATGCGGTCAGTTTCTGGAAGGCTCACCGCAGCCTTCAACCTGGAGGTCAAAAAGAGCGTCAACGGCATCTGCCTCTAGGGTAAGAGCGCAAATGATAGCGATCTCAAAGCCATGGCGAGCAGTAGGGCGGGGCGGTTGAGACTTCACTGTCCGCGTGGTCATCCTGAAGTATGATTTCTTGCTGTTCCGATCGTTGCGTGTTGAATTACCTTGAGCGCCGCCTATTGTCAAAATAGAGAGATCCAAGGCCGCTGGAGCATCGGGACCGGGGACGGAGCCGCGCAATCGTGGAGACAAAGTTGTTGACCAAGGAGGGGTTCACGGACCGTTCCTAGCGCATTCAAGTGTTCAATTCCCACCAATGCCCCGGGGATTGTGTAAACCAATCACTGGGCGGCGATTCGAGCCGGCATAACTTATTATCCTTCCGATCGGAGGTCTCACCATGGCGGCGACTGTCTAACTCGCCAGTGAGTCAGACAGCTCGGTTCCCCGGATATCGACGGAATTCCATGACATTCCATTGCTCTTTGCTACGTGATCAAAATTCTGGCTTTTTACTGGTTCATCCTTTGTGTCACACGAGTGTCCGCCACTTCATTTCTCCCGCATCTGCAGCAATTTGCCTGCCAAACTCCATGGGAAACCGCTATGTGGCAGGCTTTGAATTGCTGCCAACACGACGGGCGATGTAGATACACGCATGAGTTGCAGCTTAATACAATGTGCGGCAGAGCTTGGCGCACCGAGGGCCACAATAGGGATGGATGGTGACCAGCGCCAGAGGCGGCCTTGAAGTTACATTGGGGCGATTTGTACTCCCGTCCAGGGTGGTTTTCCATACCCAAGTATGGAAATACCCTTTCCATACTATGGCATGGACAGGGTATGGATATGGATCCATAGTATTTCAATGCTCAGTCAATAATTGGCCAAATTGCGCCACTGACCGGGACCCCTACAGCGCCATCCTCCAGGGGTCTGAGGCCTTGAACCCCGCTAATTCCCACACAAACACAAATCGCTTTCCCACCACTTTGCACCAACGCGTCGGACGAATCAGTTGTCGAACTATGGATTCTGCAAGTGTGCTATCTGTCAAGCTGGTAAAATACCGCTACACCATGCAAAATGAGGCACCCCGATAGAGGTGTTACTAACGCGTATTATAGGCCCTTTCTTGTCCTGAAGCTCATAACTCTCAGCAAGCTGAGAGCGCGGGCGGAAGGATAAGGGCAGGCACAATTGAGTCCAAACGATGATGCATGTTTTCTATCTATCTGTGCGACATTGAGGGGGTATTTATACGAATAGATACCAATCTGGGACCCGTGGTGGCCCTGAATCAGTGCCAATTCCCGTGTATCCCGATTAGGCAATGTTCCTCTACTGTATCGATACCTGACTCAAGTCCTTGTGTCTGACCTGCCTCTTTCACCGGAGTTTATACGTGTGCGGATTAGACCGTCAGTCTGCTCCTCTGACACTATCCTTCTTCGATGCTGAATCTATTTTGTCGGACTCTACGACATCAAGATCTCGCAATACAAGAGGCAAAGCGGCTATCGCAACGTGGAAGCATGCTCGCGTTGCAGCAGAGGGGGAGGAAGAGTTTAAGGGCCGAAATCGCCTTCTCTATTGCAGCCATTGTCCCCAGACGAACACGTACAGCACTTCAGTTACCACTAACTTTCGAAAACATCTGGAGGGTAAGCACGATATTCGAGTCGTGGAAGATTTGACCCCTCTTCAATCGTCCATCTTTGAGGGGTTTGAGCAACTCTACCAGCAAGCACGGGACTTGGGCCGCACAACGGAGATTGAGTCGGAGGTCTTCAAACGCTACCTGGACCAAGACAAGATAAACAAAGCCTTAGCTTGGCTGATCGTCGCACGAAACCTTCCTTATCGAATTGTCGAATCCCGCGAATTTCACCTCTTCATTTCGACCTTGAACCCGGTCGCGAAGGACCATCCCTTCCGCCCACTCGACTATTCCACGAATTATCGACAATCATTTCCAGTCGGCCAAGGATATCGTGCGAATGAAGCTCCAGTCAGCAAAATCCAAGGTTCACCTCTCGCTTGACATTTGGACGTCCCCCAATCGGCTCCTTCTTCTCGGAGTTTGCTCCCACTTTGTTGACCACGCACAAGAAGCACGACGGAAAGCTCTCCTTGCACTTCGGCCTGTGGCGAACCATTCCGGGAGGAGCAATTCGTTACACTTCTTCCCATCTTGCGGGACTTTGGTATTCTGCGACGCCTTGGAAGCATCGTTGGGGATAATTCGAGCACGAATGACACCTGCTGCCGGGCAGTGAGCACGTATCTCAAGGAAGAGGGCGTCAAATGGGATCCTGAAGTTCACCGCCTCCGATGCCTAGGCCACGTTATCAACTTAGCAGTTCAAGCTTTCCTGTTCCAGAATTCTATTGACTTGAAAGAGGGCGAAATATGCGAAGACGCAGATGACCTGGCAAAGTTCAAAGGCAGCGCACCGAATTTCGCCGCCTTGGACCACTTGGTAAGCTCCACAACCTGGTTGTCAACATCCGGAGTTCATCAGGACGCAGTGGAGAGTTTATGGAACTCGCTGAAAGGGGCATTCCACTTGACAATCGTACGAGGTGGAATAGCTGGTATCAAATGCTGCATGTTGCCACTCAGCAGGAAACTGCCAGCGCTCTGGACACCTACACCAAGAATCATTTCGAAGATCTTTCTGCGGATTTTCTATTGCCGGAAGATTGGGCCCGGCTCCGAATAATTGAGAAGATCCTTCAACCGTTCGCCCGAGCGACATTAGCAACACAAGGGATCATGCGACCCTGGACAAAGTGCTCTTCACGATGGACGTCTTGATCCGATGCTTTGATGAAGCCCTGGTACCATGCCTTCCATTCCTCTGATCTCCTTGTGCAAGCGCTGAGATGGTGCAATAGGTCACGTACAAATCAGACACCGAGCTGTCCTTTAGGATCAAACGAGGGTGGGAAGTCTTTGACAAATATTATAGCAAGACAGAAGCATCGCCCTATTATGCAGCTGCCTTGATCCTTCATCCCAGCTATCGCACAACATACATCCAGGCAAATTGGAAGAAGAAGTGGCAAAAACCTGCGTTCAAACAGGTCAAAGACCTTTGGCTCACATACCGAGACACTGTGGATGGCGCCCTCTCAACATTTACTAGATGACGATGATGACGAGGACCTTGACGCGTTTGATCGCATTTCAAGGAACCTGCAGAATTGTACTCGACCGTCAAGCCAGGACGAGTACGAAGATTACATTTCATGTGATCCGTACGACATTACGCCGACGACGGCCTTGTCATGGTGGCTTCAAGAGCAACAGAGAAAACGATGGCCCAAGCTATCACAAATGGCCATAGACATCTGTCAAGCTGGTAAAATACCGCTACACCATGCAAAATGAGGGCACCCCCGATAGAGGTGTTACTAACGCGTATTATAGGCCCTTTCTTGTCCTGACAACATCCTATCAATGCCGGCGATGAGTGATGAACCTGAGCGGGTGTTCTCAGGGGCGCGTCGCACAATCTCATGGGAAAGAGCCCAATTGGACGCGAAACAAGTCGAAAAGGGAGAATGCTTAAAGCATTGGCTCAAGAACGATATCTTGCAAGGGGCCGAGGGTGGTGGCGGGTCCCCAGATTTTGGGTAAAATCCTGGCTCAACTTCTACGCCTGTTTCCTGCAAAGGAGCAAATTTCTGCTTGGCATCCCCTTGACCGGTCGTCTGTCATTACGTTCACGTTAACTGTTCCTTGATTTTTCATTGATTCATGTCGTGTTTGGCACGTTTTGCCGAGACCATATAGGTGAGCTGTTGCGGGATGCGCACGGACCAAGAATGGAAAGGTGTATTGTAATACTTGCAATAAATGTGGGGCGATACTCCAGTATGGATTGCACACCTTTCCATATATGGAAAACCACCCTGCTCCCGTCTGACCTGCGATGTGCTACCAGTGCCACGCCCCACTTATTTCGCGTTCGTTCCTCACCAGCTCCATAAGCTGGTCATCGCCGACGATCCAGACAATGAACCGGGGCACCGTACCAGCAGCTAAATCGGCACGAACAGCCGTCAGCGATAGTCTCTACTGTACGGTGGACACATCACGAGTCGAAGAAGCGAACAGGTGCCAGACGCAGATCGGCAACATCCGAAAGGCCATAGAGAGCGACATGAGAAAGAGTCAGAGGCAGGAGACTTGGAAATGCGCAGCGGTCGTGACAGACGCTCGAAACCCCGACCGGATCAAAATTTTATGCAGAGACCAAACCGAGTTGAAGCAGGTCAAGGAAGCAGCGCAGAAGACGGTAACTTCGGGAGCCAGGGTACTGAGAGATCAGCTTTACCCTGTCAAAGTCGACAACACCAAGCGTACCGCAGTGCTGGACGCCGAAGGCAACGTTCTGCCGGGCGCAGCTGAGGCGCTCGGAGCCGAGAATTACGTCACGATTGCCAAGATCACCTGGCTTAGCAACAGAGAGAAAGCCAAAGCGTACGGGTCAATGGTGATCTATGTCACTAAAGAGAGTGACGCGCAAAGACTTCTGGACGGCGTGTGGTTCGATGTTGCGGGAGAGTCCGCCTGCACCAATGTTTTTGAACGCCGCGTAGGACCGATTCAGTGCTTCAACTGTCAAGAGATGGGACACAAGGCGTTTTCATGCAAGAAGCCGCAAAGATGTGGCAGATGCGCGAAAGCAGAACATCACCACAGAGAATGCAAGGAGACAGTGCCAAAGTGCGTGCCCTGCGGTGGACCACACGAATCGTACAGCCGGAACTGTCGGGCGCGGAACCCTGGGGATGAGACGCAGGCAGCGTCTGGCCCTTCGGGCTAAGCAGCGGAAGTGAGAATCCACTTAGGATCGATTATGGCACTAACCTTCAACAATACTAACACACAGGTATTCGACTTCGATTTCGACAGACCGCGCTTCAGCTGCTGAAGGTAGGACGCTGAACACTTGGAGAAATTGGCCTTCAAGCAGGCCTGTCACGGAGAGAGTAGCGGCGAGGTTGGTGTAGCGTATGCTGACCCGTGGGGCTTAAGGTGTTACGCATTAATGTATTGAAATGTCAGTAGCTTTTACGTCTAGGCCCTATAGGAGAAATCCTCCGGGTGAAATACACATACATACAAGCTGGTGCTGGACACCACAGTAGCCAGTACACCGCAATAGCCAGAATTTTCACCGTCTAACTTCAATCACCTACACTTCAACCAGATCACAATCCTTTGACTTGCAGAGATGGAAGCACGTATCCAAGCTCTTCGATATATTGAACATTTTTCTGGTGCGAAGGTGGCCACGGTTGCTCGGGAATTCGGCGTACCACGCAATCGATTGCGATACCGCCTTGAAGGCCGTCCTCCCAAAACAGGCAGACCAGCCACGAATTTGAAGCTATCGCGACCAGAAGAGGCGGCTTTGTGTCGTTACATCGATCGCCTTGACAATATCAACCTTGCGGTACGCCCAGAGTTCGTCACCGATGTGGCAAATCACATCTTGCATCAGCGATCTGGTCAAGCCGATCTCGTTATTGGTAGCAGGTGGACTTCTCGCTTTCTCAAACGTCACGGCTACTTCAAGAAGCTTCAAAAGAAGCTCCACTCAGAACGTCAAGCCTCCGAAGACCTCACCCGCGTCAATCAGTATTTCCAGAGCCTCCACAAGGTCATCCAAGAGAAGGGTATACCCCCTGAAGATATCTGGAATATGGACGAGACCGGATTTCGGATCGGAGTTGGCAAAGATCAATTGGTCGTCACTAAACGAAAGAGAGCCCATTATTTTGCTATCCCTGAGAACAGGGAGTCTGCCACTGCGATCGAGGCTATCTCGGCTGGTGGAGCTTTCATTCCCGCTTTCTTAATCCTATCTGGACAGATGCACATGACCTCATGGTATCAGATACCTGGTCTAGATCCCGATACAGCTATCCGACCTACATCGACCGGCTACTCAAACGACGAAATTAGTCTGGAATGGCTTCAACATTTTGACAAGCATTCGGCAAAGACCTCGAGAAGCTCGAAGCGTCTGCTAATTCTCGATGGCCATGGCTCCCACCACACAAGGCAATTCATTCAGTATTGCGACGAACACGGCATCATTCCATTCGGTATGCCCCCGAATCTCACGCATCTACTCCAGCCTCTGGATGTTGTGGTATTCCAGCCATTGAAGCACTACCACGCCAAAGCGCTGGAAGTTATGGTTCGAGACGGCCTTGTCAATATAACCAAACTCGAATTTCTTTCCTGCATTCAGCAAGTACGATCACAAGCCTTCAGACAAAATACTATTCGCTCTGCATTCCGAAAAACGGGAATCTGGCCACCGAATTCACAAGCGGTACTCCAGCTGCTGGAGGCTCGTCAGACGAAAAAGACGCCCACTCCTCCCCCCAATTTAGAACCACACTCTTCACCATTCGAGACGCCACTGACTCTTCGGCAAATAAACAAAGTAGCTGATAAACTCGAGATCGTACTCCAAGAAGACGAAGACCTAAATCCCGAATTTTCTCGCGATTTGGGTCGCTTTATTCGGGGATCGCTATCTCTGGCTACCGAACTTGTGCAGACCAAAAGAGATCTGGGAAGGACCAAAATGGCCGAACGCATCCAACAACAACGTAAGGCGATGAGAAACACGCAATTGCAATCGGGAGGTTTTGACGGTAGCCCAAGGGCGTGAAATGGTGCAGAAAGGAGGAAGACCAAATCGCTAAGGCTAGAAAGGTGATCGAGGCCGCGGAGTTGAAGGCACGCAGCGCACGCAGGCGATGGTTTGAAGAGGCAGCAAAAAAGGCTCGTAAATGGAGGGCATCTGGAAGGCTGCCCAGGGTGGAAATATGCGATTCTGAGCGCGGAACGCGGTGGCTGAAGCGATTTTAGTTGGAGGAGTCGAAAATCTGGCTATTGCGGTGTACTGGCTACTGCGGTGTCCAGCACAGCTTATGGAGCTGGTGAGGAACGAACGCGAAATAAGTGGGGCGTGGCACGGGTAAGTCCCCGCTACTTCAAGGTACTTGAATGAACTTTGCCTGTGTGGACGCTCCCATGTGCGTGTCCTCATATACCTTCCGAGTACTGCAAAGTACCGGATCCGTTCTTAAACAGTCACGTGCTTCCTCTTAGGTGGGTCGCTAGCCGAAAACGATGTGTCGCAGACGCCTCTGTTCTGGTCTTCGACGTGCCGATGGTGTAGTAGAGCGTGTCGCTGAATGAAGGTTGCGACATCCGTGTTGATGGGCTGTGTATGTTCGATGGTAGGTATATGTGAAGGCGCTCTTCGGGCAACACCCGCATACGAATATTGAGGGCCGCTGTTGCCCGAATCTGTTGCGGCGTTGAACGCTTCGAGCTGCTCTCGAATCTGCCCAAGCCCCTCCGTGTTACGAAACTATTCTCGCGAATCCTTGCTCTCACGACCAAATCTTCGCGCGATTACTTGATCTGAAGCTGGAGCTCTCGAATCCGGCTCTCCTGGGCACGGATGGTATCGCTCTGTTCGTGTATCGCATTCTTCGATCCTCCAATCTCACCTCCCATTCTCCCCAACACCGCCAGACCCTCTGGAGCATCGCTTTGCCCGTCTCGCCATTGCGTGTCTTCGTGCGGCTCAACGACCAGTCCCCAGCATGAGGCTACCAGGGACATGCCTTGAGAGCTCATGTAGCTAAGACACTCGACCTAGGGATAGATGCAGAGATGTGAAGAGCACCACTTGCTTGATCCTCAAAACTCCAAAATCGAGGAGCCATTATGTATTAGCATAGCAGGTGTATCGCAATATACAGAACAGTAGACACCACCTTATACTTCCATCGCCTTGATCTCATCAATAGCCTTGTCAAATGCTTTGATGATTGGCCCATAGAGAATCTCCGGATCCTTCGGTGTCCCGACAAAGAGCCCGTCCCTGTAAGGGAACAAGATCCCCCGCAATTCCCTGCAAAGGGGCTTGACACAGTCGAACTTGGGTTGCGGAAATTCCTCCAAGATGTCCTCAAATCCATCAACGTGCATATGCCCTCGTTTGGCGCTCGCAATCTCTCGATAGCTGCCAGTGTACCACTTCGTCAACAGACTTGGCGTAGGCCGCTCCTTCTGGTTGAGCAGTAATTCCCAACCACGACGACCACACAGCCAGAGGAGCACATAGAAGAACGACTCTAGATCATGCCGGTAGGTGTGAGAGATCCCTTGCAGGACCTCAACTGCCATGAACTCCATCGTCCCAGTGCGACAGCGCGCCCCGCTGCGCCCGCTGCCCAGCTCCTTGGCAAGGTCCAGGTCGATCAGCATGCCCATGTGGCCAGTCGTTTTGCGGTCGGTTATGATTATGTTGTTCTCGGAAATGTCCCGGTGCAGGATGTTGCCTTTGAGGTGTAGGGACCTGTGTGCCTTGATGGCATCGCGAAGCGCCCCTAGAAGCTCCGATTTCGTTTCGTACTTGTGGATCGCCCGGCCAGCTGGGGAGATCACTAGACATCGAAAGACTCGATTATCATAGGGTCCATTGTTGGAAGCGAGTAGGCTCGTCCCTTGGGCTCCTTCCACATCGTACGCAACCTCGTTTTGCCTTTGGCTCGACCTTTGACTGTTGGATCTTGATCGCTTAAACGGGTTCTGACCGACATCAACTGACTTGCGCTTTCTTAACGGCCTGTCAGCCATGCTCAAGCCTTGAAGCTCGCTGAATGACCGAGAAAGGGCACTGGGAGGCTGAGACCGGGAGAAGGACTGCGAAACGGTCGACGTAGTGCGTGGAAGACCTCGGAAGGAGTAAGGCTTCGTAAATGTCAGACCTGATCGCATCTCATTGATGCTAGTTATGCGACGATGGCCGATCAACTCAGAAATGCCCTCGACTCCTCTCTGACGGGCCAATCTGAGAAGGTCTGCCTCTGGCTTTCGCCTGTCGGACGTCCACGAGAACTTCACGACATAACTCCAATCCTCGGAGTCCGGAGGCTTCGTGAGATAGCAAGACGTCCCACGGCAGACGACTGCCCGTTGACGGGTGAAAGGTTGCGACTCCAACCGCAGCCTCTTCCTGGCTGAAGCCCCGTCTTGGTCAACGTGTATCAAGCGACTGTTGCCATCCAGCTCTGTAAATCTGTCCAACCCCAGTTCTTCGTCATTCATCATTGCGTAGCCGGCGATCACCTGTATGAACCGTTTGGGCTTGTCATGGATATCGAACGCGCCAGGACTGTAACATCCCGAGCGGTCAAATACCCAAACCTCCATCTCGCGCCCGCAGATTGTAAACGCGTGAACGTACCGACGTGTCGGCTGGCAGGAGAAAACATCTCGCACGTATCGGCCGATCTGGAGAAGCGTCGCCTTTTGTTGTTATTGGACGCCTTGAGCTCGCCAATCACTTCGACATCACTCCAGTCGTGCGCGGCATCTGGCGGCTGCCCATTCTTTCGCTTGACAAAGAGATCGATCTGTCGCTGAGCTTCGGCACCGACAAGATCCTTCGGGTTCGTGGTCGAATAGTAGCGGCGTCGTTTCTCCGAGAGGAAGACATCCTGGAATCGGAACCACCAGTCCAGAACTCCATCTTGCACGGGCGGATTCGGAAGGCCGGTCCACGCGCCATCGACGTGTTGGTCCTTCATCGCCTCATAGATGCCCAAGGCATGGCTTGTCCAAGTTCTCCCCTCGAAGTATTTCTCAAAGAATCCTTCCACGTCGCGGTATGTGCAAAATCTGATCTCCTCAAATACCTTTCTTTCCACCACCTCTCGTGTCTGTTCGGTGCCTTGCTGGGAAGCGGAGGAATGGGTAATGGGCGTATTGTCGAACGTGGCCGGGATACTTTCAGGAGGCGTCGCTCGGGTGACCGTGCCGATGAGATCAAGCACGGCGCTCCAGATCTCCAAGTCGGACGCCTCTTGAATGGCGAGTCTCACAAGCGGGCGGTAGTAGCTGTAGTTGAAGTCTCCTTTTCGGAAGCGTCTAACAAGGCCTGCCAATTCGGTGATGACATCTCGGTTGCTAATCTTCGAGTGCAAATCAGGCGCTGCTTCTGTTCCCATCAAGGTGATTAGTAGACGGGATATTGCCTTTTGACGATTCTCTGCAGAGTGGTTGACAGTATCATCATGCGATCCGGAGATCGAAATATAAGACTCCTCTGCATCCTGAAGTGACTTCTTTAGATGGTCCAGAGAGCTGTCCAAGGGGTGGCGCGCGATTACGTCGCGATCGTGTTCCGACAGAGTAGCCATTTAATCTGGCAGCACGTAGAAAGCGCCACGATGCTGCAATGAGGTGTGGTCGACAGGCTCAGCAGACATCGCCAGGAAGGTAAGATATCACGGGGATGCTGCAAGAATGAGGATTCGGGGCCCAAGTAGGAATGTGTCCAAAAGCGCGAAGGGATGGGTGGAAGAGCGCATGGCGTAGCTGGACATCGGGCCGATATTCATCCGGTCAGTGATGGATATGCCTCGGGCAAACACGCCAGGGTGTCCACTGGCTAAATGCTTGGATCGGCCTCATTGACGCCCGGAAGGCCTCATTATGGCTTGTGCCACTGTCGCTATGCACAGCTGGTCTTGCCGTCCGCGGTGGCGGTGGCATTTTAACATGTTCAGGCACACGGCAGCCGAGAGCCCCTGACTTAACTCCATGATCACGCAAAAGACCGACCGCGCTTTAGGCGGGAGAAAACCCCTGACCTTGGAGCATCTACCACAGTGACATATGTCTTTCAGTGAGCGTCCACTTAACGTGTGGGCAGAGGAGGGGCTGCATGCTATCACCACTTTGGCGCCTCCCTCGAGGCGGCAACGCTCCGTGGCCCGCTACCCAATATTCAGAGGCAATCTTTCAACTCGCATAAAGGGTCAAGGGACATTAATGTCTGGAGGTGTCTCTCGAAAGCGGGTGTCCGGACGCCTGAGAGACCGGGAAAGCACGCCGTCGTCTGCCTTGCGGTATTCGTGGCTGGGCAAAAATCGGCCGACATGGATGCGGTGATGCCTATGACTCACAGGGGGTGCAGTGAAACACGAGACCCTGGCAGGGACGATGCCCTCCTGCAGCTCTCCGCACATATGCAAAATTGGGTTGGTCGCTTTTCTACGGAGTACCGCAATCTGTTTGGCCAATGAGACACGGCTAAATCGAGCAGTCTCTACCACAATCTTCTGATGTGATTGGACCGCCATTGCTCAACTGTTAATAATATTGAGTAATGCTATCCGGGCAGCAACGGACATACCCCAAGTATTACGACAGCGTGAAGAGCCACTATGTATGGCGATGTACGAAGTACTGTGCATTCGGTGGCAATCCAACGCAATCCAACGGTGCAAGACAAGCAAGCAGGGCGTGGTTTGCAAATTTCCGTTCGCTGCATTACTCGTGCCATGCCCCACTTTATTGACGCTCGCCCCACCTAAAGGTGAACCCCCCCATCGCTGTTAAGGAAGTACCTGCGTTCAACACCTCGCTCCAGGCCGAGGGCGGCGACGGCATCCACCCGCGGACCAGGCGTGACTGTCGCCCCAAGAAGAGCCGATGACTCCTACGAACACCCCAGGAGCTAGAGAAGCGCTCCTCCGGCAAGCCCCACGCGAGCACCTTCCGAATTGCAGGTGCGAAGATGCGCAACCCTACGACCCTCCATTCGGCTCCACGAGCAGCGACAGCGCCGACACCGAGCAGGAAGATGCTGTAATGGGAGACGCAGCAGATGAAACCAAGACCGATGAACCGGACGACCTGCCCGACGCGGAAGGCCCAGCAGTAACGGTTGCTCACGCGGCAGAGAGCCTCATCGCCAGCCAGATGGAATCACAACAGGCAAAGCTGGCCGTCTTCCGCGCATTCTGCACCGCCTTCGACCAGACAGCTGCCCAGTTTACCTCGGGCCACGCGCTCAGCTTCGCGAAGGACATCTCGCGCGACTTCATTAGCTACTGGGACGTCGCGCTCAACGGCGTGCCCACACGCGCCGGTAAGGCCCATAAAAGTATGGCGCAGACAGGAGGCCCCCTCCGCCAGCCTCGACCCACGGCCCCGGGAGGCCCTCTGGTCCAGCCGCCTAAGGATGACCAGCTGTGAATCATTGACATGTAGTTATACAGGCATCAGTCTTGTAGAACATGACCGCGGTAGGCGTACGCTTCTAGGCATAGAAAGGTTCGCCCTCCTTGCCTCGGAGGGATTGTCTCAGGGGGCTGTTCGGCGTCCCTCAGCTCGCCGGCCTGAATGCCGGACGTAGACGTCTCGCAGACAGTATCAGCTTCCTGGCCGATGGCAGCCGAGTCGGGGACAAGAGTCGCCGGCTCACCAGGGGAGGGTTGAGTCTGCTCAGTCGACAGAGTACAGTCCAAATCGCAAGATTCAGCGTCGAAAGTAGGATCGATCGAGTTTACGAGTTCATCGATGCTTCTAAAGCTGTTTTCCGCCAAGCCTCGATCAGTGTCCGGGACTATGTGGTCCGTTTGTGTCCTCCCAATGGTCGACGGTTCCTCCCTTTGCATGCGGTCCATGATGACGGCCGGAACACTGGACCCATCGGCATACTGCCAGCCGTCTATCTCTGCTTGGTTGATTGCGACATCCTCGTAAAGCGAGTTGCTCGGACTTGCTCCTCTGCAGCCATGCCAGGGCAGCTGCCACTCGAGATTTACGCACCTGAAGCAGGTGTCTGACGTCTGCGGAGCCAGGCTTGCCCGAACCGCTCCAAGAGACGTGGATGTTCTCAATGGCCTGCAGTAAGGGATGAGGAAGAACCGTGGCCACAAGGTCGTCCACTTTGTTCGGGAAGACGACGATGTGTCCTTTCACGTGCTTGCGGTAACTGATTTCCGAACGGGTCTTGTTGTCGACCGTGAACTTGGTGATATAGCCAAAAAGGCGCATGCAGGGCAATGAGTCTCTCTTCGACGGGAGAGAGGTCATCAAGCTCTCCGGGGTACCGATGCTCACAACCGATGGCCATGTTGTTGACCGAGAAGGCTTTAGGCAGCCGTCCACTGTCGAAGCTGGCGCGACACTCGCGGCACACGTCAACTCCGGCGCCCTCGTGTGGCGGAAGGCACGCCTCGCACCCTTGGACGGTCCTGGTAGCCTGCAGCAGGGAGGGCGATAAACAACCCCTCCACTGCATGGTGGTGAGTTCGCGAGGCGGCGTCTTCCGGTAGCAGAAGACGCAGTGGGAGATCGGCAACGTCCCCTCATCCGTGAACGCTTGGTAGAACGACTTAGGGGCTTCTACCTGAAGGGCAGGTGGAACTTCTTTGCACCAGGACCTTGTTGACGATGCTTGCTCCTTAGAGCGGAAACAGGCGTTATAGTGATGTAGAATAGACTCGACAGAGTCTCGTTGTAGTTGAACGGTTTCTCGCATCGGCCGGGGTCTTTTTGGGGAGCGCTTGGGCTGCGTCGGTGGCGGAGTGGGAGGTGCTTGCTCGTCTCTAGGCCGTTTCGGCGATGGCGTGGCTGGCGGTTGCTTATGTCTTTTGGAGGAGCGCTTTGGCTGCGTGGGCGGTGGAGCGGGATGTGCCTGCTCGTCTCTAATTCGTTCGGGTGATGGAGTGGCCGGGGGCTGCCCGTTACGGTATATTGGCATTGAGCTTCGCGGCGGCGGGCTCGGTCTTCAGCACGTTGGCAATCCATACCATGCAAGACACGGAGGATCTCGTCGTGTGGGACCCTGACAAGCGGTGAAGGGCGCTGATAGGAACGGCGTTGACGGGATCTCTGCGATTCAATATCACCCAAGGTGCGGCGAACCTCCTCGGGTGAGACCGCGACGGGGTGTTCTCGCGGCATGGTGCACGGGGATGGCGGAGCATGGTCGCGGGGGAAGGCGGCCCGGGCAGTGGGGCCGGATCGGGCGGTCAGTCTTTTGCAAGAAGGTCGTTGTGGCCTGGCCAGTCGAAGAAGGCACGGAGGTGGCGGTGAAGAGTGGCTGGAAAGTCCGAATCAGCACGGGCGCGGGAGGGCGCGGAAGAAGGATCCTTTCGTCTCTTCGTTCCTCAAGGCAAACGAGGGGGAAGGCCGCGGAAGACGCGGAAGAAAGATCCTTTTGTCTCTTCGTTCCTCGAGGCACCTTCTCTGTGGCCTGTGTGTTCCTTAATGGGGAGGCAGAGCCACAGTATACCGTTGGGCCCTACAGTGCCTTCTTTGATGTCGCTGTCCTGGACCCGGCTGAAGTCCAATCCAATGCCTGGCAGTGGACCCGGGATTGGAAAGGGTGGCGGCGACGGTGGCAGATGCTGGTACTGGGGTGAGGCACTCGAACCGGCAGGCGACGCGTGGGAAGAGCTCGCTTCGGATGACCTCCTTCAGAGACTCAACGCGTTTCTCGGCTCTTTCCGCCCGTTCCTCGACGCGTTGCAGGAGAGCTTCGATTCGTGTCAATGGATCCTCGTTGGCACCAGGGCCAGCACTCGTCGCTTTCGCCTTCGTGGCAACAAATTTCTTTCATGGTTGGCGCGGTTCTAGGTCGAATTGCTGTGCTGGATTTAGAGGTTGACCGTGGGCGCTGGTCCTCGTCACATCGGCCGCGCGTTTGTCGCTTTGTCGTTCGTGCTGTCGTCCTCGTCATTAAGCAGTCAGCCTACTTCTGAGTATGCCAGCTATGGCTTAATATTTTTCCGCTCTTTGACTAACCCCGGTGAGCCGGAATCCTGAAAGGTAGTAGTGACTCAGAGCCCGGAGCGGCGTTTCTTTCTCCCCGGGATCCACGCTTATCGTCACCCCACGTTGGGCCGCAAAGATTTGTCGTTTAAACGGACGAGGCAGAGACGAAACGAAGCAACGAATTGATCTACCGAAGCGGACCGACTCTATGGAATCGCTTGAGTCACCATCAACGGGGGAGATACGGAGTTCCATCGAGAAACATGGGTTCTTCTTCGGCAAAGATGCGACCATGGGGCAGCGTATCGAGAAGATGGAAAATGAAGGTACTCCTTTCGCATCAGCTGGGGGATTGCGGTTTTGCAAGGTCACTGTCCTCGACAATTCGGTTAGTACGGATTCCTATTGCACAGTTATATTCTCTCATTTCAGCAGTATATACGGTCCGTTCTCGATTCTTTCTTCGTCTGGTTTGCACTAGGTCTTTACAGGTCCATCGGCGCAGCCCCCGGCGATTACACTTTCAGGAAGAGCGATCCAGGAGCCGATGGAGAGTCTCTTTTAGTCCAACTGTGGAGCAAAGGATCCAAAGTGTCCTTTTGGGGAGGTTCACACCGTCATCACTTACCCTCCGTGAAGGGGGACAATAATCTGTGGCGTGTCCCTCGCGTCATTCTCGTCCGCCTCGGCCTCAAGCCTACAGATGTTACTTTCGAGCAAGGCGGCTTGTAAGTTTACAATCCTTCGTGCTTGAAGCATCGACTCATGCGAGAGCAGTGCCATTGTGGATCCTCGAATCGTCGTCACAGTCACGGAAGGTAATGCGACCGTCTTTGCATTCGGGACGAAGGAGGTGGTTACCACGGCGTGGAGGCCGATGGAACTGCCTAAGTCACAGGATATCGAAGAAACAGTTGCCCTTATGCAAAGTGCAAACTTCGGGCTGAACGTAACATACATTGGGCAAAAGGAGGAGACATGATTAATAGGGGTTGGCTTGCGTTGCGCTACTCGTCTGCTCATACCCTCCTTGATTCTCTGTGCCAGGAGCTGGCAGTATGCGGCCAGAAGTCTCGACAGAATGAATTTCTGGATAACCTCCATCCAACATATTTGAATGAAAGGGGTGGAGTTGTGGGTATTGCGCTGCATGATAATATGGCGTTATGGTTATGTCATTAAAAATCGGTGCATATGTGTCTTGAAGTGTACTCGGCGTTCTTTCCATATTGCCAGACAGCGAGAATGACGTCCTAGACGAGAGCTCTGCATTGGATAACCCGCTTGCCGAACCTGTGTGGCCAAGATGAGCTGAAAGTGATGTCATCGGCGTTGATTGGATGGAGATGAATGCGTTGTTTCGAGATTCGACTCCTTGTGAATCGGAACGATCAGAAACCCGTGAAGTTGAAGAAACGCTGGGTAATTACCTACCAAGGGCGCCATCGCCGGCCTGAAATGGTCGATTTGAATCGCCATTGACAGTCGCCACGTTTCTCTTCCGGGGTTGTTCAGAATCCACCGCCTCTCGACCTCGTTTTCTGCTTTCCTCGTGACTCTTCAAGAGATTTTTTTCCAGCGTCCCGTCCAGCTGCTGAGTGGCATACCTCCGCAGCTGAGTGCATCGTTCTTTCCTGTATAATTCTTTCACGTTCTTAGTCCGTTGCTTTTTCCGTTTGCAGTTATGCCGAAGAAACTGTCGCACTCGCATGAAAGTGTCACGGCAAAACACGCAGATCTCGTAGCATCGGACATCTCCATCGTGCCTTGTCAGCAGAATGCCTTCAGGGGATGGGGGGCAGGGAGAGATACGTCGTTGGTAGTGCTTCAGAAGGTCCGGCCTCCTCTTGAACAGTTTTTTGCGGCAGCATGTTGGATATGGGCACTGGAGTCTGGGTTCATCTCCCCATCCTGGCGTGAGTGAGTATTGGTCGCTACCGGCCTCGTCGCCGTCTTCGTCGCCATCGACGTTGCTGTCGTCGCTACTATCATCGTTGGAACCGTCGCAGGCTTTCTCGCCGTGATTAGACACTACCTCATGTTGTTGACCTAGCAGAGGCAAATGCGCTTGAGCTTCCAGCAGTCTGCCCATCAACTGATGTACTTCGAGCTGGAGAAGCGTATTAGTATGGGCTCTGTGGCTCGCCCGTACCAACCTGACCTGGAAAGCCCCGACATGGTCGCGTAATGCATTGCTCGTGTCGAACGTCTCGAAACAAACTTGGCACTGCGATCGCCTCTCAAATCTGGCCGTCGTTTGACTTGGGTCGACAGACACGAAACGAGTCTGGAGTTCTGGCATCATGTGGCTGAATTGTCTCGTGTCGTGTGAGCAGTGAACAAGTCATGGGCGTAGCAAGGGGCAGAAGCATGGAGGGAATCACAAAACAGTGCAATTGGTTGAAGACATATTGTACTAAGCAGAAGAAAGGGGTGTGAGCAAATTATGCATGTCGCGGGTTGCACCTCCGTCTATAAAAAGGCCTACCAAGACCTCCACACCTCGAAAGTCAGTACTCTAATCGATTCCCTTGCGTCGAGACTCTAGCTGCGACACGAGCTTTCGCACAACGATGCCTCCTTGTTCAGAGTGCAATGACGAGGGCATGGTTGGCACATCTATCTGCCCAAAATGCAACGGATACGGCGGAGCTAAACGAAATGCGCATTTGGATGTTCTTTCATACAGCACATCACAGCGGTGCATTTGGGTACGGGCATCTCTATTCACCCAAAAAAAAAAATTGTCGACATACTAGGACTGATGTGCCTTAAAGGATGATCACATCAATGCTATTAACCCGTTGAATGGGATATTATAAATCGATTGTATATGGCATCTTAGCGAGGCGTTACAAATCTGGAAATGAGGAATCCGAGAAAACAGACTTGCCCGTAATCTCACAAGAGCAGGTCGTTCAATGTTACCCAGCGAGGCAGGGCATAGCAAGTTGCATGTACTGGATACATCTCTTTGAACCAATGAACGTGTCTACACTAAAATCCTGACTGAATACGTACACGCTACTTCCCAGATTATGGTGCCATCAAGCCAAATCTAACGAATCAGGACGGGTTTAATTGACCTCGGAGCAGGGTAACAGCGTCCCATCACTGTCTAAGCCAAATGAGGGTACGTGTCACAAAACTGCGCTCCGAACCAAGAATGGAAAGGCTCATCCCGGTTGCCGCGGCTGAGTGCCTGAGGAACGAGTGGCGGTGAAGTCTGGCTTGCAGGCACGAAGCGGCATGTGATCCGTGCGTAGGGTGGTGGAGGAACGCGGGGGAAGGCCGCGGAAGAAAGAAAGGTCCTTTCGTCTCTTCGTTCCTCAAGGCACACACTGGAGAGCGGCCCCTTGCAGGGTCCGCCAATGCCTTGAGGAACGGGACTGAATTTGGTTCCACACTGGCAGGTCTGCTGAGACGATGAGGCTTGCTCCCGGTAGTGTGGCTGCTTGGACGCCATTTTACCCCGCCACAACAAGGTGGGTTGAGGGCGGGCGGGGTAAGAACGCGGAGGTAACTTGTAAGGCCATCATCTCGAAGGGCAAAGGAGTCTGAACTGTTCGCGAATCATGCAGTAAAGTGTAACAGTTTGTTAAGAATCGACTCAATGCCTCCGATTGATTACTCAAAGTGGGACAACATCGACACCGATTCGGAGCCAGAGGCATCGCCCCAGCAAGCGCCAGCAGCAAAACCCACCCCGCCGCCCACGCATGCCTCGCCGCCGATGGGTACATCAGGTTTGAAACGCACAGCAAGTCGGGGCATGTCGAAGCTGTCATTGTCCGATGTGAGGCCGAGAAACGCAAGTTTCCCCTTTGGTCTGCCACTACAATCCCTGCGAATCATGTCGTGTTTTCGCAGTCAGTGCCGTCCGTCCCAGGGCTCATCGAGGTCCCGCTGGTCCTGGATCGGACGGGGACTCAGTCCGTCAACGAGGCAGACCTCGACAACCAGATTGCTACGTACCTCAATATTGATGCCAACTCCGGGTTTGCACCTCCAGACTGGCAGTCACAAGTTGGCACCGTCGTGGTCGCGCGCAAGGACAGGAAGCCATTTTATCCGCAGCATCTCGAAGGAGTGTGGATGTTCTGCGACCATATCCTGGACCTGTTCGGGGAAGGAGACGGGCCGCCGAGGTGGCTTTACAGCCGCCAGGCGTTCGACGAATGGTGGGTAAATTATTGTGAGGAGCAAAAGCGCTTACGTCCTGGGAAGGGAGGGGAGCGAGATCCGGACGACTGGCGTGCGGTCCGGTCACCTTATGAAGTGTAGGACGTCTACGTGCCGCGTTACGACGGGCGAAAGGTCAAACTATAAGGATGGTTAGTATACTAGCACTACTTTTCGAAACCTTGGTCCTTGTATAACCGTCTTGTTTCCGCGGCCAAGTTCTTGAGTCTCTGCATTCCATCAAGAATGGCCTGATCGAGCCCATTGCCAATGAAGTCATGGTGTCTCACGGGATTAAGAAGCTTGATGCCCCGAAGCGAGGTGCACCTGGATAGTTGCACATAGAGGCTCGTAAAATCGCACTTGGAGGGTTCACCATTGGTCACACGATTTCCACGCAGCTCCAACAGTACTTCGACGAATGTTTTACCCTGGGCTTTGTAATCAGTGAGAACGAACGCTGGTACAGCGGGCAGTCCACGTCGCGTGCATCTTGCGGATAAGAACTTGAAGTGAGAGTTAGTCGAATCAAGTGTATGCGACATGGGCCGGATAAGTACTGTCCCCACCGGGAGGACGGTATCGCCAAGGTCTTCGTCTCCTCGGACTGCAGAAGAATGCCGAGCGGTGGCCCGAAGTGGATGGTCACGTCATCTGCCAAGCAGTATCCCGGGTGATTGGGATCGATTATCACGTCCACGGCAGTAAAGTCAGCCCCATTCACCACCTTCAGGCCAGTGTAGATGTTCTTGTTCACAACCACGGGCATGCCCTGGGCGTAGAAGAAGACGCCGGGGACTTTGCAGGCAGAGTCGTCGCCTTGTCCGATGGTTCGCGCTATGAGGTTTGGAGACAGCGTGCCGTTGCGCCAGGTGTGAGTCGAGACAAAGATACGGATGTGCCGCTTGTTGAAGCGCGCCCAGCCCACAACAGCTTCCATGTTGAGGGCCCACCGGGTGCGGTTCAGCGGCGTTATAGCGCGCAAACCATCGTGGAAGGTGATTTGCGAGCGTCCTACAATGTTGGCATTGAGCAAGCTCAGATCTTCATGGGTCTGGCGCCCGTTACGAACTCGATCCAGGAGTGCACGGAGCTGGGGATCGTTGCGTGCGCGGACTTGGTCTTCGAGGAGCACCACGGTTTTGAACAGATGCCACAATCTGCAGCCGCTGTGGTGAGATATGGTCGCTTGTCGCAAGGGGGTCTCTGTTCGGTCCGGCGGTCTGATGATCAGTAGGCTTGTCTCCCGCACGGGGGCGAACTGGTAGAAGTCTCCCATCAGTAGAACGACGGGCATGCCGCCAAACGGTTCGTCCGGACAGTCACGGAGTGCCTGCAGGTAATGACTGACGTTGTGCAGAGTGGCTCCTCCCAGCATACTGACCTCGTCAATCACGAGTACCAGCTTCTGTTTCCAGATCCACTTCTTCGCCTCCGAGAAGGGGGGAGGCGGTTTGTTTGGATCGCGATGGGAATCTAACCCACAGGCCGAGTGGATCGTCGTGCCGCCAATCTGGGCCGCCGAACTGCCCGACGTGCCGGTTATCTGCAGAAGATGCGGCTGGTTCCTCGCCGCGAACACGTCCTTCAGGGCATCGATAATCCTCGACTTTCCCGTGCCACCCGGCCCGCCGGTGTATTGAAGATGCTGACCCGCTGAGTCCGGATTAGCAGTATACTTGTCCAGAAACAGGCAAACGAGTTGAAGGGCCATGGTCTGTAGATAGTTCAGTGTAAAGCTGGCCGCGGCGGTGTGTCCCATCTCCGCGAAGCTAGTTGCCGGACTGACGTCGACAAGCATCCGAGGGCCTCGTTCATTGAGGTCGCTGCCCGGGAGCGCAGCAGGGGACTCCGTATCGCCGTAGCGAGCTAGCGTATCGTCGATGTCGGCGCCATCCGCGGAAAGCATGGTCCCCTGGGAACCACCCTCAATGTCGTCTAGCATCCGAAGATGCAATAGTTGTTGGGCCTTGGCCGCTGCCTGGACATCGTCTCGAGATATGGGGAGTTGACACAAGGCGTCACCTTGATCATGGGGCATATTCCGGTACAGATCCTCTTGACGTTGGACAAAAGGTTGCTCTTCTCCAGCCGGGTTCTCTTCGCACAGATCGTGTATTAAACCTCCAAGGACGGGTGAGTCTTTTGTGGCGTCCGTGTCCTGCACGGCATTTCGCAAAATCTGGGTAGAGCTCTGTAGGCCTGACGATGAGCCATCGCTGGAGGCTCTTCTTCGTATCGGCCATCGTCAAGCGGGTACTCAACGTCAATTGTGTCGTCGCCCTCCGACCGACTGGCCCAGAGCTTCGCGTCCTTACGCGCGTCTTCGGCAGACTTTCTCAAAAGACAAATGTTAGAGACGTAGAAACGGAGGCGGGGACAAAGGCCCGCTCGATGCGTCGTCCATATGTCGGTTATATCACCTAGGCTCTCAGAAGTGAAGTTTTCCCAAGGGACGAATAACGCCAAATGTAGGACAGAGTTTCTACACAGAGTGTCAGACGGAGCCAAAACGGTGCCGGGGGTTAGAGCGTACCGCTTAATATAGACTGGGTGATCGTCCTCGTGGTCGTCGCTGATGTATCCTTGGAAGATCGGGACGGCGTACTGGTCGGGCCGTCGAAGCTTTTGCATCCAGCCTTCACAGTCTGAATCCTGGCCATCGAGAAAAATGTGAGTCATCTTCACTCCGACCATTTCGACGCACCAAGTGAATCATTGACATGTAGTCATACAGGCATAAGTCTTGTAGAACATGACCGCGGTAGGCGTACGCCTCCAGGCATAATAGGGTTCGCCCTCCTTGCCTCAGAGGGATTGTCTCTGGGGGCTGTTCGGCGTCCGTGAGCTCGCCGGCCTGATGGCGGAGATGCGCCCATAGCCGAAAGATTGTCCAGTATAGGGCCGTCAAGTTCAAGAAGGACCAATGCGGCACGTTGGTAAAGTCGGTGTCATATCCAAGGAGGTGGTAACAAACCTCGACAGCCGAGTTGTCGCTCGGAGAAGATGCGATTTGCCGTTCTCATCAGGAATTGACGGCTTTCGTTCAATACCGCCTGGTGCCTCTCGTCGGGCAGGGCGGGACCTGGCGCGCGAGACGTCGGACGACCGGCCTCGCGAAGTTGGCGGGCAACCTCGGTGGCGAGAATGCGCTTCCACATCGGCGTATCCAGCTTGGTGGCGTAGTTCGTGATGTAGTACACCATGGCCAGGCCCTTGGTCTTGGTCAAGATCATCGAGACGTCGTGGTTGTGGCGAAGGCCGACCGCCAACGACTTGTTATACCGGTTGACGAGTGGATGGTTGCGCCGAATCTGAAGCAAGCCATCCTCTGTGAATCCTGTCTGCTCGACGATCTTCCACGGTGCCTTGAAGCGGCAGGCTGTCCGTCTCTGTTGATCTGCCCCCCGGTCGATGACCCCCTTCAAAGAATACTTAAGGCAGGTGTATGTGTGGGAGTGCACCTGGCAACAGTATGCGATAAAATTGGATTCGTCTTCAAAAGCCGCAGTGAGAGCCGAGGTGCTGGTCATGACCTCCTCCACGGGATCGATGGGCTTCCTCTCCTGTCGCACGGCTTTTCCGGCATCTTCATCTAGACACTCATGAAAGACGGAGTCTATATATCGAATCACCTGGGCGCGATATGCTTCTTCCGCGGGATTGGCCATGTCGTCTATCAAGTTCGGTAAGCGCATGTTGCCGTCCAGCCAGAGGAGTCCATGCAAGTGGAGGCTGCCTCGCTCATTCGTTTCCACCGTCGCGTAGTAGTGGCTGATCTTCCCGAAGATCGATTCCCGGCCTGTATTCACATACTTTTCAAAGAATAGGATATTTCTCGGTGGAAGAAGATGGCCGAGCTGACCGGATCCATGGTGCTCAGGGCGATCCTGTCGTACTTTTCACGGAGATCGGCCAAAAGCTCCTTCGCAGACTCGTAATCGTGGAGCCTATGAATGGCAAGCTTCATCTTTACCGGGTTATTAATGTCGTTGGGACTGATGGTAATCCAGATTGCAGGCATACCGGCGCGGATGTCTAGAGCTTGTATCTTCCTCCGCATAAGTAAACGGGATTCGTTCGAGAGCGGCTGTGCATGGCCAAAGATCGACAGCTCGCGAAGCAAGAGCGATATGTCGGGGTCCGACGTAGTCCTCGTCTCCCGCATCTCCACTTCGGCCCTCTTCAGTCGGTCCTCGGTCAAGTTTGCATAGGCCTGCTCAAGTCTGTGGAAGGAATCTTTAGCGACACGGACCATGCTGATGCGGCGGTTGGTGGAGCGAAGGAGGGTGTTGAATACTAAGAAACAAAACACAGGATGGGTGGCGAATCGGCCTCCATGCCGTTGCAATACGTATCTGGTCCAGTATTGAAGAGAGTGATTCGGACGACGGTCGGCAGCGTCGCTTTGTCGGCTACGACTCGAGTCGCCCTTCGATTTCGGGCCGCCCCTTCCCCACGGAAAAAGCTTGGGAAATGTTCGAGGGAAGAAATCTTCGTGCAGGTTGTCTGCAAAGTCCGCACCACGTTCTACTCGGACAAACGGCTGATCTCCGTAGTTTGGACCTGCATAACGCATGGTATAGAGCGGCCACGTGGATCCGGATTGGCGTTGGCCATGCCCGCCACAAACGACAGCTTATCGGTATCCGCAAAGGCAGCCGGTCCATCAAGAGGAACATGGCGGATGCAGACGTCTCACATATGGTTTCAACTTCCTGGCCGATGGCAGCCGAGTCGGGGACAAGAGTCGCCAGCTCACCAGGAGAGGTCGAGTCTGCTCAGTCGATAGAGTACAGTCCAAGTCGCGAGACTCGTCGACGAAGGTGCCATCGATCGAGCTCACAAGTTCATCGATGCTTCTGAAACTGTTTTCCTCCAAGCCTCGATCAGTGTCCGGGACTATGTGGTCAGTTTGAGTCCTCTCAACGGTCGACGGTTCCTCTCTCTGCATGCGGTCCATGATGACGGTCGGAACAGTGGAGCCGTCGGCATACCGCCAGCCATCCATCTCTGCCTGGTCGATTGCGATATTCTCGTAAAGTGGGTTGTTCCTTTGCAGCCATGCCAGGGCGGCCGCCACTCGAGATTTGCGCACCTGAAGCAGGTGTCTGACGTCTGCGGAGCCAGGCTTAGCCGAACCGCTCCAAGAGACGTGGATATTCTCAATGGTCTGCAGCAAGGGATGGGGAAGAACGGTGGTAACAAGATCGTCCACCTTGTTCGGAAAGACGACGATATGTCCTTTCACGTGCTTGCGGTAGCTGATTCCGGAACGGGTCTTGTTGTCGACCGTGAACTTGGTGATATAGCCAAAGGGCGCATGCAGGGCAATGAGTCTCTCCTCAACGGGAGAGAGGTCATCAAGCTCGCCAGGGTACCGATGTTCGCAACCGATGGCCATATTGTTGACCGAGCAGGCTTTGGGCAGCCGTCCACCGTCGAAGCTGGCGCGACACTCGCGGCATACGTCAACTCCGCGCGCTCGTGCGGCGGAAGGCAAGCGCCACACTTCTGGATGGTCCTGGTCGCCTGCAGCAGGAGGGCGACAATCGACCCCTCCACTGCATGGTTGAGAGCTCGCAAGGTGGGGTCTTTCTATAGCAGAAGACGCAGTGAGAAATGGGCAACGTCCTCTCGTCCGTAAACGCCTGGTAGAACGATCTAGGAGCTGCTACCTGAAGGGCACGTGGAACTTCGTTGCACCAGGATCTTGTTGACGATGCCTGCTCTTTAGAGCGGAAACGGGCGTCATGGTGATGTAGCGCAGACTCGACAGAGTCTCGCTGGAGTTGGACGGTTTCTTGCGTAGGCCCGGGCCTCGTGGGGAAGCGCCCCGTCCGTGTGGGCGATGAAGGGCGAAGCGGTTGTTCCGCCCTGGATCGACTCGGTGATGGAGAGGCCGGCGTCTGCGTGTGTCTTTTGGAGGAGCGCGTTGGCTGCGTGGGGTGGAGTGGGAGGTGTCTCCTCTTCTCTGTGTCGTTTCGGCGATGGAGCGGCCGGCGGCTGCGCGTGTCTTTTGGAGGAGCGCCTTAGCCGCGTGGGAGGTGGAGTGGAGGGTGATAGCCCCTCTCTAGGTCGTCTCGGTGATGCAGTCGCTGGCAGCTGCGTTTGTCTTCTAGGGGAGTGTTTTGGCTGCGTTGGAGGTGGAGTGGAGGGCGCTTGCTCTTCTCGGGGTCGTCTCGGGGATGGGTTGTTCGGCTGTTGCGTGTGTGCGGTATATTGGAATTGAGCTTCACGGCGGCGGGATCGTTCTTCGGCGCGCTGGCGGTCCATATCGTGCAAGACGCGGAGGATCTCGTCGTGGGGAACCCTGATAAGCGGTGAAGGTCGTTGATAGGAACGGCGCTGCTGGGATCTCTGCGATTCAAGATCACCCAAAGTGCGGCGAACCTCCTCGGGCGAGACCGTGACGGGGTGTTCTCGTGGCATGGTGCACGGTGATGGCTGTGAACAATCGGTACGAGAAAGGAGAGTTGGCCCCGGAGAGTGGGACCGGGGCGGGAGCGGGACGGGAACGGGCAGCAGGAACAGGAAGGTTGGTGGGGAAAAAGAACAGGTGGCGGTGAAGAGTGGCTGGTGGGCACGGAGCGGCATGCGGTCCGTGCGTAGGGGGTAGAGGATGTGGAGGTGTGGCGAAGGACGCGGAAGGAAGAACCTTTCGTTCCTCAAGGCACCTCATCCGCTACCCAGATCGCGTTCCGTTCCCTGGACAACGACGTTCAACCGACGCCCACGAACCATAGCAGGTAGTCACTTTATTCCATATTCGTTGACATCACGCTAATACTAGCCAGTTAAACACTTAGGCAGCAATGGAGATATGCGAAAAAGGCGAAATTTTCATCGAAAAAGACGACGACTGTTGGATCCACCTGTGCACTAGGCACCGATCGCGCACGTATAACTAATCGACCGCGCTAGTCACGTGCGAGTAAGAGGTGAGACACAGGGAGGAAGGTCTTTGCACACAGTTTGTATGGGACACGTTTCCCTAGTTACACAAGATATAACCAATTGAACCAGTTCGAATAACCTCACTGCAGTGAAGAGCCTGTCCACACTGATCAGTGTCGCCCGGCAAAGGTGACACAGAACAGCAAGACGGAAGAGAGCTAACCTATCGTCACGCTCTGCAAAGCGAGCTCCTGACGGTAGGATAGTTGCTACAACGCGCGGATTGCTACGAAGACTCTGCATCAGAGCCCACTCTAGTTATCCAACCGTGCCTAAGCTTTGCTGTCATCAGCGACCCTTAGGCGTGCCCTATCGCACATTGATAACCTCATTGACACCCTGTGCCCTGTTTCTCAGCACACAGCCTGTCAATATGTCTGACAATTCATCTGCCGCACTAGCCCCGGCAACAGCCCAGGATACCCCGGCCAACGTGTCTCTCGAAGACAGGCAACTCGTTGAACGGAACCTGACGATCGTGGAGCTCCTTCACTCCCGATCAGGCATTTCGACGCGGATTTCCTCAACGAACCTATCACCCAGAGCTCCTCCCTTGTCCACCGCAACAGCTTCTTCTTAGGCTGTGTGGCAACATACACGGTGGATAAACGTAACCACGGAATTGCCCTGCTTGGGGATCTGTATAACGACTTCACGGGATGGAGCTATGATGACTTCGAACTAATCAACCCACGCCTTAGATCAAGACTCCGGACGCTTCTCAGAATTAGGGGGATCTATATGGGCAAGGCCAACTCTAGCATCTCTCGAGCTTTATGTGGCCTTCTAACAAGTAACGAACTTCCTGAATGGGATGAGAACGAGTTGCTTGGTCAAGAGGTTGCTGAAAACACCGTGGCATATAAGGTGAAACAGAAGCTGCTCCAAGGAACTGTTAAAGCGGCTATATCGTCACCGGCACCGGTAGTAATCCAGCAGCCAACTATTACCCGACCGGCGGAACCGGAATCCCCTCAGATCATTGAGACCCATCAACCCGCTCAGCAAGAGCCTCAGCATCAATGGCGCGAATCCCTCGGTATCAGCAGACGCTCCCCGTACGGACTACCAACTTCCGAGATGCATACACGAGCATTCCACCTGTTCGATTCGAGAACGAGGAAGTTGAGGCCGATCTCACGATTAGATTCATTAAGATATGGGACAAGAAACTAGCCTATACCGGCGAACCATACGATATCTTCGATGACAAGATCCGGAAATTCATGAGCGTGTGCCGTCAAGCAAACATTCCTCCGTCTAAATTCCATGGTGTTTTCCCTTCGATTCTGGCCAAGGCTCAGTCCTTCTTTCTACACGAAATCAGCACTGATTTAACCTTCGCTGAGATGTATCAGAAGATGAAAGAGCACTTTGACACCGAAATCAACCAGAAGATGTATCATACCCACTGGAGCACCCTCACCTTCAGCCGACTTCGGGCTGAGATGCCCGGTAAGTCATCTGACGAGGTCCTCCAGGCCCTTCTTACGAAATTGCGGCTCTGTAGAGAGCACTCGGGGATAAGTCTGGCGGCGAAGGTGGCCTGATCGATGCAACGCTCAGGGCGTGCCGTGGTGTGCCTGAATTCCGACTCGCGATATACTCTCCCGCACCTACATTTGAGGGATTGGCATCACAGCTTCGATCATCGCTATCTGCCATGCAAGATGAACGATCTGAACAACCCAGTGGCCAATATCCCCAAGACCTGGATAGAGGACATGATCAGCACTTCGTGGATCGCAAATTTCAGCGAAATTCCGGCGGAACAAGAGGTCAATCACAAAGGCGTCAGCCAAATTGGAAGAAGAAATGCTACGTTTGCGGCAAGGAAGGTTGTTTCTCAACGAGACATCCTGAAAACGAGAGAAAAGCAGCCAAAGAGAAGTATCTACGAGAGAGAGGCTTCCACGGTCAATCTCGTTCGTATGCTATGTTCTTGGCTGACTATGAAGGGGAATCACAGGATCAGGATGACTCGAGCACCGAGGAATCCGATGATTCTGACTCCTCTGACCCTTATGAATCGTTCTACGCTGCTGCGACCTTCTGTCCAACGAAGCTTTCCATCATCGGATCTCTCCAGTAGGCATCAAGTTATTCAACAGTGACGAACCCACACAATTCATACTAGATCGTTACTCTCAAGACTCGTTCCAAGGAATCATGCCGGACACAGGTGCGGCATGCATATCGACGGGAGGAATCGAACAACTGCGTGCTCTCCAACGAGAGATGCCCCCAGTCCAATTCCGTGATGATCGCAAGCCCGAACCAGTTAGATTTGGTGCAGGAAGATTGGAAACACCACTTGGCGTGATCACCTTGAACACACCAGTGGGAGAGGTTGATTTTCATATAGTCAACGTGCCAACGCCATTCCTCCTATGCCTAGCTGATATGGATCGGCTCGGCGTATATTTAAATAACGTCACGAACGAGCTCGTTGGCAATGGTGTGAGCGTTCCAGTGATTCGAAGATGGGGTCACGCGTGGTTCTTCTTGCGGAAACAAGAGGCATCAGTGGCATATCTCACGGAGGCTGAATTGCGGCGCCTCCACACGCGTTTTGGTCATCCATCCGTGTATCGGCTGCACAAGCTGCTGAATTCGGCTGGCCATGATGTGGAAATCGAAGCTCTGGAAATGATCAAGAAGTTCTGCCACTACTGTCAGATGAAATCCGACCCGCCACGAAGGTTCAAGTTCAGCTTGAAGGATGATTGTGACTTCAATTACGAAGTCATCGTTGATGTCATGACATTGGGTGGCAGACCAGTCCTCCATGTTGTTGATCAAGCCACTGCCTATCAGGCAGGGAGATTCCTATCCAACATGACGGCCAAGGAAACGTGGCTCGCGTTGAAACAATGTTGGATGGATACATACCTTGGACCACCCGATGTGATCACTCATGACGCAGGCACGAATTTCGCTGCTGCCGAGTTCCAAGCAGAAGCGAAATTGATGGGAATAACGTGTCATCAGGTGCCTGTGGAAGCACATTGGGCTGTTGGGAAGGTTGAGAAGTATCATGTGCCCGTCCGAAGAGCATATGATATATTAAAGGCAGAGCTGAAGGATACCGTGAGCCCTGATCAAGTCCTTCAAATGGCTTTCAAGGCTGTCAACGACACAGCCGGTCCGGATGGCCTCGTTCCAACCCTCCTCGTCTTCGGTGCTCTGCCTCGAATGACGATGGATTCGCCGCCTACACCTTCCGCAATGGCAAGAGCTAAGGCGGTGTGGCGAACGATGTCAGAGCTGAGGAAGATCAACGCCCAGAGGAAGGTTCAGACCGCGTTAAATACGCGTAATGGGCCTGATACAGCGTTGCGCCTGCCCCTATCCCTGGCGCTAGGAAGCGAAGTTCGCGTATTTCGCGAGAAGCACGGATGGCAAGGCCCATATAAAGTGCTCGAGGTGACGGATACGGAAATCGCA